ACAGGGGAAGGTTTTCACTCAGAGAGTGGTGAAGAACTGGAACAGGTTGTACAGGGAGGTTATGGATGCCCCATCCCTGGAGGCATTCAAGGCCAAGGCTGGATGTGGCTCTGGGCAGCCTGGTCTGCTGGTTGGCAACCCTACACATCGCAGGGGGTTGAAACAAGCTGATCATTGTGGTCATTCTCAGCCCAGCCCATTCTATGATAAAGGAATTATGCTATGGTAGTTTTCTTGCCTTCCTTTTAAGTTAAATGTAGGAAGGAGTGCTGGCATCTGTTTTAAAAGGTTTTTAAGAACAAATTTGTTAAATGATAACATTAATTCCAAAGTGTCAGTAACACTAAATGTAATTTATATGTATATGTATATATTGTGTGTGTGTGTGAGGAAAGAGTTAAAATCAAAAAACTAACTTCTCTGTTCTCCCCCTACCATTAGTTTGAGCCAGTAGACAGCTCCCCTGACTTGAATCCTGGATCAGCATGTTGGCTATGCTAAGCAGTAATAGAGGAAAAAGTGGAAGAGAAATGTAAAAATGATCTATAAGGAGGAATGTGTCTATATATAGAAATTTTCCATGAAGCACCAGACACTCTTTAAGAATTGATGGCAAATTTGCCCAAGGCATGCAGCACTGGCAAACCATACTAAAGTTGCTCTTTCTGCTCCAAAGATACATTGGTATGTTTTCTTTGGAACTACAGAATCAATCTTGAACAAAGATGATCAGTTCCAGTACATCCAGTGATTGTACTGTTTTTTGTTTATGATTACATGTTGCTTACTACTTAACAACTGCTACAAATTGTATTTAACTGAGCAAACTGTGGAGCTAATCTGTTGTTCTGACTTGTGGGGGAAAAGGAAAATGGTATAGAATGTTTGGAGAATAATGAATTAAAATATCCTAACACTTAGCCATGCAGGGAGATAAGACCTCTCTTCCCTCCTAAATGTTTCTGCTTAGCTCTTTGGCAACTGTAGTCCTACCTGTGCAGAAGAGATGAATACAGCTCTCTTTGCAAACCAGTGGGTAGGGGAGGACAAAATGGAAGTTCTTTATTCTCTGCCTCTCAGTTTTCGCTCTTGCATACCAGAAAGTACAGGAAGACATAGAGGACAATTAGTTGTGCTTTTGGAGAAGGAGAACATTGTGTTTCCTACTGCAAGGAGGAATCCAGGATACAGTAAAAAACTGATTCTTGTCACTGCAAAGCAGTGAACAGTTGCTTCCTCAAAGCAGCTTGAAATGCTACAAGCATAGCTAGTACATGTGATTGCGTTTGCCTTGGTAGAAGGTACCAGGTTAGCCATTATGATGAGGTGTTGCACATGCAGAGTTACAAGAACACTGCTTGGTGTTTACCGATAGCCGAAAAGTGACCAGGATATTAGAAACCTATGAAGGATGAAATGTGAGAGAGACCTGGAAATGCCCTGAGGGACCTGCAGAATACTACAGAATACTGAAAGTCATTTCCCTCCAATAATACCGTGTTGGCTTCAGCTATTTGATCATATAAGAAACGATACAGCACAGCATATACAGAAACAATACAGTGTTTCAGCTGCTTCCATTCAAACTTGTTCTGCTACTGCCATTGTGAAGGATGGAGTTCCTCATTTTCCTCATCCTACCAGGTGAGAGGATGCTATTTTATTAGTGAACTGTAGGTGAAAGATGGCAGAAGCATGAGGTGAGCTTATCAGCAAACCATTATACAAGGAAAGTATTAAGAAAGGCAGATGATGAAATTGTTTACGAGTGTCCCCCACAAGCCCATTCTTGGCATTGCCCTGGTGAAGGAACTTGTGTCAGTGCCATTTAAAAAATAAATCTCTTCTGGCTGTCCTCACATACTAATCTGTAAGGTATGATCAACAGAAACCTCGTATCTTTTGTCTGGGGATGTCCAATATTGGATGCATCTCTTAGGATTTTAAACTTAGTTGTGTGTAGCAGAGGGAAGCAACTAGTTTTCTCGCAACTGTTATAACCGCCATTACATTTCCTTGAGTGTATCCAGTGGTTAACAAAAACAAGTGATCTAAGTGAGCAGGAGACAAACATGAAACCCAGCTGACCTTGCACAGTTGACTTTGTTGTTTGTTTCCATTGCAAATACTGGGATTCCTTTTGTTTCTAAAATATGAGCAATCCGAGCTGCTGCTGTTAGGCAGGATGGCAGCTGAGCTCTGCTCCCTGCGATAAGAGCGTAGCCTGTGATAGCTTCTTGATCGCTGCATTATGCAGGCAGGGAATTACTGAGCAAAAGACTTTTAAAGAGGCATTACAGGGATTCTGTTCGTTGGAACGCTGCGTGATGCGAGTAAGGCAAGCTGGACACCAGTTCCCCCTAGTGAAGAAATCGGTAACAGCTTCTGCTGAAAGAGGTAACTGTAAAAATGGACTACAAAGATAGTGAACTTTGCAGTGCTACATATGTATGTGTTTTGTTTGTATGTTAATCGGAAGGGTTTGGAGGCTGTAAAAGAAGTGGAGGTAGCACGATGAGCATCAGCTGGGTCCTTCCATTCTTCTTTTCAGTCAGCACTTTTGAATCTCTTAATGCTTCTTCCACATAGCTGTGCATTTGAATAGTTGGTGCCTATTCTGTGTCTGGAGTAGCAGTTTTCTCACTATTTCAGTCTGGATTATTTGGTCCACAGAATTTATAGGGGAAAAAAAAAGTTGAAGTTTTTAGAGGCATTTTCTTCCCAAATGGCATTTAAGCATGAGATAGAAGTGACCCTATGGGCTATTTTTCAGCTGTGGTTCAGGACTGTTGATATGACATTCTGTAAAACTGCATTGGTAGAAGATCTGCAGGGAAAGTGGCCATCCAGGGGAAGAACATGAATCTCATGTTCCTAGTTTTTCCATAAAACCCCACAAACAACTGTGGATAGTTCAGTTCTGTTTTGGTGAAATAACAGCTGCGTCAGGGTGTTCTCATACAATGCTTATGGATGCCATATAAACAAAACTGCATACAGAGTTTGGTCTCTCTGTGAATCAGCGTGACATGTCTTGCATGACTTTTTGGATGAAGTAACAAGTCATTACTACTGTGTACAGACTGAAAATGATACTTGTAAAACAGAAGATGCTCAGTAGTTTCTTTGTCCTGCTGGCCACAGATTCAGCTTGGTTTCAAATGCAGAATCAGTATGTGGCAATGATAGTCATATAGATCTAGAAATCCTCTTAAATGCATATTTTTCTAGCAGCCTTTCACTGTATTCAGATGGGTTTATTATTAGCCAAAGATGGCTGTCTTTAAAGGTATACTTATATAGGACAAATCAGTAGTGAAGAAGAAATAATCAGAAAAGTCATTCTCACATGTACAGGGTTTGCACAGATGGTAGTCCAGGAAACATGGAGGAAATAATCAAGATCTCAGTGGTATTAAAAAAAATATAATTCCTCCATGTGTTTGCATTCACTGCTAGATGTAGAAATGATGCACGCCTAATGCTTGTGCTCAGCCCTGAGTGACACTTGATTAAAAAAACTCAGGAGTTCTAGGCAGGAGACTATTTAAAAGAAAGTTGATTGTGAGTGCAAGATGCAGCTCATCTTTACAGAGAGCATTTGAAGCTGAGTAAGGTAAAGGCACCGCCTTCCCTTCAGACAGCAGTACAGAGCTGATCCTACAGAAGTGCTGAGGCATTGGTCCCCTGCATGCAGATTAGCTGTAGTGGTAGTGGCCACCAAAGCATGCAAAGAACCTCCTTATCTCACTTGCATTAATAGCATGAGTGCAGTGCTCACTGGTGATGCCAAGCCAGGACTGCAACTTTAGGAAATGCCTCAGATCTTTCCTACACTCAGTCCTGTTTTCTTGCAGCTGGGGTAACTTGTCACACATACCCACGTGGATAGCTTGTCTGTTATCTGCAGTCTGATTCTTTAACTCTCAGCAGTGCACAGCCATAATGGATGTTTAATAGCATAGAACTATAGAGTGTCCAAAGTCAGAAAGGACCCAGAAGGATTGAGTCCAACCCCTGGCTCCACACAGAACCACCCAAAACTCCAGCCTAATGACTGAGAGCAGTGTCCAAACACTCCTTCAACTCTGGCACTTTGGGCAGTGCCCACTGTCCTGGGCAGCCTGTGCCAGTGCCCAAAGTGATTCTTTCTCTCATTGCCCCAGAATCAGAAGTCTTAATCAATTACAAAAAGAGATTAATGGCTGATTTTGTCATAAAGTTTTTGTAGCTTAATTATTGGAACATAATTTATCTTAACTAGTACAGGTCTTCAGTCTGGATTATTTAAGAGTTTTGTTAACTTGAACAAGCTGCTTTAGAGCTGTCTGCTATATTAATCATGATGTTTAGTCATTTGCTAGTTCTAAAAAATCTATTGTATTTCCTTTGAGAAACATATTTTAGAAAACTCATCATCCGTTACCAAGCAAACAGTATTCTCCAATGTATACACACTTGAAATGACTAACGTCACCGAATCAAAGCAATGAAACCTAGTTTTACATATACTGCGAGTGCCATGCATAAGCCTGTTTTCAGTATAAGAAAACTGGCATTTTGGGGAGGAATTTTCTTTTGTCTTTCCATCTCTTGACCTCTTGGCAGTGCACAAGACAGAAAGGTGGTGTGCAGAACTCATGTGTGATTGAAAAGTTGTGCTGTCTCTTGGCATAGTTTTTAAATGTGCTGTTTACGTATAATCAGCTCCAGGAATATAATTCTTCACAGAAGTGGAATCTAATAATAATAATATTCCATAACTCCTTTTGGAAACTTTGAATTTTATTTAATTTCAAGTGCTTTTTTGTGTACAGACCTTCTGAAAAGGCCACAGGGAGTCTTCAAGTACCAGTGACAGAAAGCTGTGATCTCCAACTAGACAGCAATGTATGCAATTCCTCAAGCACATCCATAGGTTACTATTTGCTTTTCCACTTGTTTGCAGAGGAAGGTATGGATATATGTGCAATGCTTTTCTACAACCTTTATATTTACAGGGACATGGCTGAAGAGTAGTTTGGGACTTGTGCAACAAGAAGGAAATCAGTTGACTTGGACTTACATTGCCCCTCAGCTGGGCTACTGGGTTGCAGCCATGTCACCTACTATCCCAGGTAAGATGGCATTGAATTTCACTGGTATGTCCAACGTTGAGTAATTATTTATTTATATATAACGTTTATATTTTTCAGAATGACCTCATCTGAGATGCCACAGCTTGATCAATAATGGATTATTAGAAAACAGAAATCTGAAAGTAAAGGGCTAAAATCTTTTGGGGAATGTGGGGGGCAAACGTGCTCCAGAATTGTTTTGAGTATGCTAATCTCTGAACCATTTCAGTGGGAAGCTTTTTAAAGTGTTCCTGCTTTGATGTGTTTGTCACCACTGCCTGGTAGAGCCATTGCTAGAAAACAAGGGGATGCAACATCAGTGCATTGGTGCATCCAGCAGACAGAAGAATAATTGTTATGAAGTTTCTGTACAGAAATTCCCAAATTAATGGGTTCACCCAAAACCAACATCATCCTGGGTCAGAAGTTTACTCATTTAGTGACTGTAGTTGTTTTTTTTTTAATATACTGAAGATGCCAGTTGCCATGACTTAGGTTTTGCATCACCTTGGTAACGACTTAATTTATACCATGAATAATATAGGGTAGAAGCTGCAGAAAGTGTATTAGCAGAGTGACACTGGTAGATGGGCTTACCAGTTGCCATCTGCAGGCCTCTTTGCATAATGTTAGAACTTTTGAACTGTGTTTTACATGTATTCCTGTGCCCACGGAGATGATTAATGTTGCAGTTTGCTCTTCCCTTTTCCTGTCTGTGGCAGCCTTATGTTTCTTGCCTTCAGTCATGACGAGTCAGAGATAACTTCTCTATAAATCAATCCAACAAAAAATCTTCTTAGAGATTTTCTGCGTTAGGTTTTCTGAATAAAAGCCAAACAGTAGAAATGAAAACGTTCTTGTCTTGGCTGTGCAAACCTAAATAAACTGTGCCTAACCAACAAAACAAACTGTTTTTAAAGTCTGCTTGTAAATTCCGTGTAGTCAGTTCATGCTATGTAGAGGATTTGGGACTTTTGCTGTGTTATTTAAGATTATATTAAATGAAACTGATGGAATATCAGCTGATATAGTGTAAATCAGAGGTTAGATAGCTTATCCTGATCTGCACTGCACTATCACATTGAATGTAATGGAATTTTACAAAATAACTGTACATAAAGAAAAGGTAGCTGCTCTGAGCAAATGCCACAGCCTGTAAGGAAGTTACCAGTCATGAAATTTGCCCCCTGATTCTTTAGTTAGAAGGCAGCCTGTAACTCATGACGGGAGAAGGCCAATTTGTCCTTGCAGTTTATCTTGTATGGCAGAATTTCTGCTTGTATTCTACATTTTCTTCTTTCTGACGACTAGATCAGAGTTGCTAACACTTTGTTCCAATGAAACCAACCTTTTCATGAAAAATTCAAATGATTTTTCTCTTCTCCCTTGTACTTACTCTCCTGAAGCCACGTTATCAATCAATTATGTAACGGTAGTAGTGGGACAGCATCTACAAATATTTAGATTTTCCAACTGTGATCTAGTTGATGCTCTTTTAATTAGGCTAATGTATTTTCACTTGTTTCGTCTCCTTGTTGAATCTATTTGGATTTCTTATCTGAAAAAATGGACAAAAATGAGCTTTGTGTTCCTAGCAGTGGCTCTGCAGACCACTCAAGATCCACAAATGAGGTTTTAGAAACCTCATGATCTAGAACCTTAATGTTTTTCAGTTTTGCTGTCTTTCACAGTACATGCATGTTACTCTGTCAGCTGGTGCTGTACCTCCTTACCTACAGATGGAAATTTGGGCCTTTATTTCAAAATCATGAGGAGGATTTTACAAACCAACAGAGTTACACATGCATAATTGTGAAAAGATGCTATCCACGCATGTGCATTTCTTTGTATACTAGAACATTTGCTAAGCATTATTGAAACCTGGAGTACAACACTGGTTTGCAAGTGGCTTGCTTTTTTTAAGCTACTGAAGATCCACTTGGCTGGCTTGATCTAGACTAAAGAGCACTAACACATCTTCCAGTGAATCCTGTACTGCAATGTACATACTCATTAGTGCAAAGCAACACAAATGTCGTTGGAGAGAAGTTGTTAGCTACAGTGCTGCTATGTGCATTACACTGCTGGAAGATGCTGTGATGACTTCTCTCCAGCGATGAGAGTTTTAGTGCACTGTGTCAGCATCAGGACCTGGAAGGCAGCATTCACTGATGCATGCTTCCATTTAAACTAACTGCTTTTCCACAGAATGGTCTATTTGGACTTGCAGTCATGAAAACCAGCACATGCTTTCTCCACAACTTGCTCCCTTCTTCAGAGGTGGTCTGCTCAATAGGCACCAGGGCTATGAGCGGCGGTGTTGCTCGCTTACCATCCCAATAACCAGGGAAGATGTCCCTCTCTGTTTATATTTCTTGTACCATTTCTTGTTTGCAGGCTGTTGCGCATCTAAATTCTCTTTTCTGGCCCTCCAGGTCCCGTTGTAACGCACGACATTACCAGCTATCACACAATGTTTCTTTTGGCAATTTTAGGAGGGATGGCTCTCATACTTCTAGTCTTGCTGTGTCTCCTTTTGTATTATTGCAGGTAAGATTCACGTCCTGGTTACTTAAGTCATGTTAAGCTCTTTTTGTGCTCATTAAATTAAAAGCTTAAATTTTTGTACTTAGAATAAAAAAGAAAGAAAGCATTTCTGAAAAGGAAAGAAATATTGAAATCAAATTTCACGTGTTCCTGGCTACTTGCAGTGCGTACAGTCCCTGTCTCTGGTAGCATGGTAGCTAAAGGAATCTGAAAGCTGAATGTGCACTTCTATACCTGTTTTTTCTAAAACTTCCTATCAAAAAACAGGTGTTGGTCCAAGATCTCTGTAATTATACCTGTTTTGCACTTGCCAATTGACCTTGTAAAATCAGTCCTGTATTAAAAAGAATGCTAAACTTTTATCAGCAAATCTATGTTACCAACTGATTTTGTATATGCCTCCTGCAGGCATTTGCTCCAATTTGTAATTGGTGCTTGAGATGTTTGCAACTGACATAAGTTGCTCTGTAATTTTATCCTTGCTGCTCAGATAACATTTTAATTGGTAGGTTAAGTAATAAAAGCTCAATTCCCCCCATCGTTAATAACTGCCTAAAAGCTTCCCCTTAACACACACCTGCTGGACTTGTTCCTGCATACAGTAGTCCTAACTGTGTAATTCTTTTGTTACTGGCTTTTATAGAAGAAAATGTTTAAGACCACGTCAGCATCATAAGAAACTGCAACTTCCCACAGCACTGGATACTTCTAAGAAGGATCAAGCAACCTCTATGTCCCATATAAATTTAATATTTTCACGCCGTGAGTCAGAATTTCCTGGCGGGCTCTCCGTTGCTAGCAATGGACACACTGAAAACTCAGGTGCGAAGGAATTAATCAGTGCTGTCCACATGGAGATGGTCTCACCTAGTGGAGAAGCAGATATGCATACACCTATGCTCAAACATTCCTTCAGTACTTCCCAGGAGTTCAGCTCCCGAGAGGAACTGCTCTCTGACAAGGAGAAAGACAAGAGCAGAATTTCCTTGGATGACCTGACTCCCAGCGGGTCTCTGAGAAAAGACTACCATAAATCAGCAGATAGTTTTCCTTTAAAGACAAGAAAATCTACTGAAACAGCTGAAGGCTATGAGTCCCCTGTCAAAGATGAATATAGGAGAAGTTACAATGCTATGCTATCTCAGCCTTTATTTGAAAAGCAAGAGAGAGAAATTCAAGTATCTATGAACCATATTGCTACTGGAAGTAAATACAATATTCAGGAACAAATATACCCCACACCTTCAGCTCCTGAAAAAGAGCTGCTGGACTGCAGACCTACTGAATGTATGATGTCTCGTTCGGTCGATCACCTTGAAAGACCTACATCTTTCCCTCGACCAGGTCAGTTAATCTGCTGCAATTCTGTTGACCAAGTTAATGACAGTGTTTACAGAAAAGTTTTGCCTGCACTGGTGATCCCAGGTCATTACATGAAATTACCAGAGCACTCTTTCGTTAGCCAGCCGCTGGTTGTCCCAGCTGACCAGCCCATTGATCTAGAAAGACTTCAGGCTGAGCTTCCCAATCCTCACGCACGGCTTTTTCCACACCCCCCACAACAGTTGCAGCCCCAGCAGTTGACATCACAAGCAATATCTCAACAACATTTGCAAGATGCAGGTGCAGCTGAGTGGAGTCAACAAAATGCTTCCATGTCCGAATCTATTTCCATCCCCGCCTCACTTAATGACGCGTCCCTGGCTCAAATGAACAGCGAAGTGCAGCTTCTTACAGAAAAGGCGTTGATGGAATTAGGAGGAGGAAAGCCATTGCCTCATCCTCGAGCGTGGTTCGTTTCTCTAGATGGACGCTCAAATGCTCATGTTAGACATTCGTACATCGATCTCCAAAGAGCTGGGAGGAATGGCAGTAACGATGCCAGTTTGGACTCTGGCGTTGACATGAACGAACCAAAATCTGCACGAAAGGGAAGAGGAGATCATCTGTCTGCGCCACAGAGTCACCCACCAGTGCAAGAGCACCAGCAGAGAGAGCGGAAGGTTTCGGACAGCACAGCTTACACGCAACTTGTGTATTTGGATGATATGGACCAAAGTGGCAGCGAGTGCGGAACAGCGGTTTGTAGCCCTGAGGACAATGCTCTGCGATGCCTACTGGAAGGCACGAGTAAGAGAAGTGGTGTGCAGCTGCCCAGCCTGCAGGAGGAAACGAGAACTGTGGATACCAAACCAGAGCCATTAACTAGTCCTGAGCATGGAACGTCAGGTCAAGATGAGGAGGAGGATGAGGAGGATGAGGAAGATGACCAAGGTGAAGATAAGAAGAGTCCTTGGCAGAAACGAGAGGAAAGACCACTAATGACTTTCAACCTAAAGTAAGCTATTGTGAAAATCCACCATTCAGTGGAGTATAAAATTGCCAAATATTCTTTCTGTGGAAGTGCTTGATTTTTTTTTTCCCTTTTCTTTTTCTTTTTTTTTTTTTTTTTTTGTTGTGGAGAGAAAAGAGAAAAATAAACTGGTGAGCAACATTTGAAAGAACTTAAACGCATTACTGTGTAAATGTTAGAAAAAGAATTAAAATCATTCCTCTGATTTAGCAGCTGCCTCCAGTGAGATAGCTGAACAAAGAGTGTGATTGTTATTTCATATACTTGATATTGGTCATCCAGGATGTTGAAAATACTGACAAATCGTTTTGGTTGGTTTATGACCTCAATCTCCTTAAGAATGGGAGCTGGTAAAGCTTTTGTTTTGTAGGCTAATTTTATGTTGATAATGCTACTGAAAGTATCTTAAAAACAAGAGTTTGACACATGGTGTCCAAAATTGTGCATTATCTCAATGAAAGGCTATGCATTGCTGCTTTTAGTAATATTTTGCTTATACTATGCTTTTCTTAATTTTACAAGTTGGTTGTAAACATTTTATGTCCTTTATTATAAACTACTCAGCAATTTATTTTAATGTAAAACTGCAGGAAACTTGAGTAGCATCCCTTAGCATTGAAGCCTTTTTATGAAACCAAACTGAACTTTGTGTCGACTAAGATTCCTCCAATTCTGGTCCCATTTACTCAAAGTGCCTTTTTTACAGTAACAATGAACAGTCCCTTCTTTTGCTAACTCCTTTAATTGACCCTGTTTGGGATTTTATAAACTTCTGAACTTCTACCTTTTATTTTAAGCTGCATGCCAAGAGTCCCCTTTTGTGCTGAGCATTTCTCATTTCAGTACAGTGTATTCTGTAGCTATCATGTATATTGTGGATTCTGTTTAGCCAGGGTAGACTTAGAAGACATTTTAAAGGGCCCAGAGTAGCCAAGAAGATAGTTTCATTGACTGTATATATTGTTAGCTTCCTCTGGAATCATATGAGCTAATCATGCTCATTAAATGGACTATAGGCCGAGCAAGTGGACTGAATGTGTCTAGAAAACTTTTTGGGAAAAGAAAAAAATGTACTATCCTAAAGTGCCAGAATTACTCTTCTGTGCTTTCTCCATACAGAGCTGCTTGGTTATCCAAAAATTATAATTGAAAATAAACTGCAAAAAAAAATCTTTGTGTTTTTTTTTCCTCTGTTTATGTTTATCACATTATTTTGTATTATTTAATGAGCAAAAGGCTTTGGTTTCTCTTATGCTTATGTGACTTACTAACACTTAAACTTCCTTAAGCAGCTCTAATGAGCTTCAGGCAATACTGAAATGTAGAACTCTTTTCAGAAAAGCACCACCCTCCGTCTTGATAAATACTTCACTATTGCCTAAGTATCAGGGCAGACTTTGGAAATGAAATCCTGGTATCACCAGACTTCTGTGTAGGATCTGCTTCTCGTGGGGCCGGTTTTCATTCTGAGATTCCTGTGGGTACCTGCATTTATTGGGCACTGCTGACTTTGGCATGAATCAGGTTCAAAGAAGAGAAAGTATGTGTGACTTCTACTCATGTGGAGTCCTTCATTTACATTCAGTCATGTTTCATTCCATTATTTTTACTCAGCGTTACCAGCAGCCACACTTAACTAAGGTGATTAGAGAAAGTGTTGTACAGTTCCGATTAAATTTTTAATAATAAGCCTTCACTCTTTTTTTTTTTTTTTTTTCTGTAGATGTCAAAACCAGTGTTGTAATTTCCATCTTACTGAATGTATTTATCTGCGAGTCTGGGCTCAACCCAGGAGCTGAATCCAGATTTCATAGGTCCCAGACCAGCACTCCTTTCCATCCACAAAACTACATCACCTCTGCTTTGTTTTGGTCTTTGTTCATGTTTGACAGTGGTATATGTCTGGAGGAAATCTAAAATATTTGTATTTGTGGAGTGCGTTAAATATTGAAATCTCCGTAGTAGCAGTAAGTTACCTTCTGGTGGCTATGTGCATTCCAGGTCTTCCTGTTCTGTTCAGGAGCTTTGCTACTGACCACATGTGAACTGGCTCTGTGCTATGGGTAACTTCTGTCCATCTGTGCAAGGTCATCGAACAGCCAAATCCTGCCTGCTTCAGAGGGATGGTATTTATCGGATTTCAGTCAGTGCTGGTAATACAGTGTCACTTACTAATCAGAATGCTGTATCAAATGAACATTTGGTTACAATTCCAACCTACTCCAATTACTGTGATATTTAATTTCCAACTTTCTGTTCTCTTAAATCTGTAATTTTTAATTACATTCTCTTTTTACAGATTCCTTTGCAAAAGTTTCCATCTTTATTATGTTGTAAAATGAAATTGTTGCTATTAAATTGCAGTGGTTTCTTTCTTTAATCGTGTCAGTTGTATGTTCAAAAATGTATTTTGATGGTTTGATCATTTGTGGTCCTACTACGGCAAATGTGTTTGAACAAACTCAATGTGAATATCTGGCAAGTCTTAAAAATAACATTTTCTTATTGCTGTATTATCACTGGCTGTGTAACAGTTTGAATTTGATTCTGCAGAACAGAAAGCATGGGAAATGTGAGCCTCGATGTGGCCACACATCTGAGCCACGTGTTAAATCAGAGGAGTGACATCAGTCAGGTTATGGGATGAGATCAGTGCATCCTTTGTATACACTTTGTCTAATCTTGAAGTGCAGTGACAATTTGATTTTCAAACACATATTGAGACATGCTTTGGAAATATATGAAGACTTTTTTTGTTTGTATTTCGCAGTTGCCCAATGAAGAAAGTATCAATACAGGTTCTAAAACATATGGGACAAAGTACAATTTGATATATCTCAGCATCAGCAGTTCCAGGTGATCTCAGTCCAAGCAGAAGCTAATCTAAAACAGCAGTTAAGTTGTCTTCATATACATATATATGTATTATTTTTTTTTCATGGCAGGTATTAACAGGGGGAAATGCAAAGAATTGTAATGACAAAGCTTACAAAAATAAACATATTGGACTCCAAAAACTATTAGGAACAGGTCTTCAATGACTTTGACAGCCTTGAGGGTTTTTGAAGCAGCAGTGAGTGACAGAATAATTTCTAAATCTTAGATTATATTATCCAAAGGATATTTATGTCACAGGACCTATGAAAAGTTATGACAGTTGGGACTTAATACACATACTAAGAGCCCACTGACTTAATGGTTTCCCCTGCACCTACCTGGTTCCTGCTGGCACGCTTCTCAAAGCTCATTACACTGTAAGGCACCTTGACTTAATGTCATAAAGACCTTTTATTATTTGAATGCCAGCATACAAACATGCTAAAGTCTGTACAGATGGAGAAAAAGCAATGATTCCTGCCTCAAAGCATTTTGCAATCTAACCCATTATTACAAGTGTACAGAAGTGTGGTGCTGAGCTTGCAGACAAACCCCCCCATGTAGAAATTGCTCCCAGCACTTTGCTCTTCTGCAGTTTGTACTGTAACTTCAGTGAATTGAGCACTCCTGGAATACCTGGATGGTGGTTTCATTTTCTGCCTTTCACTCTACCCATGAGTGCTTTGGAAGACCAATTGCACACTGATAACTCCAAACCAAAATGATTGGAGTGGTAAGAAACAACACATCCCATGCAGGTTTTAGCCTGTAGAACATTAGAGGTGTAAATGAGCAAGTGTTCAATTAGTGTTTATTCTTTTTCTAGGAAGGTTTCCAGTTACCCAAAAAAGACATTTTTTTCTTAACCAATGGGAATTCACCTGAGGATTAAGACTTGTGACAACACTGTGCCTTGTGAACTGTCAGTGCAGTGTAAGCTGGGCTGTGTGGCATGGTGGCATCCACCCATAGGTGCTTGTCAGCATAAAACAGAAGCTATCAGTTCGGTTTTCTGAAACGCATGGACAGCAGATTACTTCATGAATCCATGCTGTCATTTGTCTCAAATGCTTGTCTCTACGCATTTGAGATCCTTACAGTCAGAGTACCTATCTGCCACCTGGTGGTAAGCTGCTTAGCTACTGGAGCCAGAGCTGAAAGGCATTTTTGGAAGTAATTCAGGAGATAAATACATACGGTATTTTTATGACTGTGTATAAAGCACAGTTTATGGCTTAAATATAAACACAGTTATAACTTCAATAGCAGCAGCAGGCAGCTGGCACAGGACCATCAGTCGTTGCTTGGACCTGTTGGTCCAAGTGCAGAGGTTCAGTCTGCTTGACAGCCCTTGCCCACACCGTACCTGCAGTGCTTCTCTGCTTATAACAGCTCCGTTTAGAATGTGCAAGTGAAAATGTGTCAGCACTTCTGTAGTGTGTTAAAGTGTATACGTGCTTGTTTTTTCTCAGCTCATTAATGCCAAAGCAGATTTACATTACAGATAAAACAATTGTAACTGCTAATTGTTTCAGAAGCTGAGGAAAGTAAGGGCACTTATTATTCTTTCCTAATTCCCCTGTTAGAACCAGTGGTGATCTGGTGGGTCCCACACCACCCTTACTGGTGTCTGGTATGCTCATGGCCTGGTGCACACCAGTTGGAACTGAACCTTTGGGTAGGACAGTAGGCAGCAGCCAAATGCTACTATTAGACTAGAGGAGCATTTTTTCCTTACTTGTGTACTTCCAGCTGATAAACTGACACCTGGTACTGTCTTCTGTTTGACAGTGAGAACAGAGCATCTTGTTCTTTTTAGCAGTAATCCTCTAGTACCCACAGGCGATCCGCTTGCAAAGTGTGGCACCTGGTCTCTTATCACTTAACTGAAGTATTTTGTGTTGATGTGCATTTCTTCTAGGAATAAGCAGTGCCAGTTAGTCTGTTTGATCATTAAATTGCTCTTCTGCCTTGGAAACTTACAGACACTAGAGGGGAAAGTGTGATGACAGTAGGGAGCTACAGAGGAGATACATATTTACAGTTTATTTTTGTAATTATGGGGTTCAAATAATGGGAGATGCAGACTGCTAAATTAACCCAATTGAGGAATAGTTATGCCAGTTTTACATTAGAAAGGAGAGGTGTTGCTCAAAATACTGCTGTGGGATGAGAAATCCCACTTTAAAAGACTTGCCTGGTCCTGCTGCAAGAGATGTCAAGCATCAAAGCTGGGAGAAATAATTCCAATGAACTCCTTTTTTAAGCACTGTTTTTAAAGGCTTTTGGTGATTGAGCAATTGTAAGGAGTCTCTAAAAGCCATACTGTTATTGCTTCAGGACTGTCTTCTTCCCAGCCTGCACACAGTTTTTTCAAGCATGTTCCCAGAAGTGTTGCCTTCTGAGCTTCTCTTCCTGGGTACAAGCCCATCATCGTCCTACTTTTGTGCCAGGGGCTTTGGGTCTGGCAGCAGCGTGTATGCACCAAGAGCACATCACAAACTCTTCAACAGGAAAATCTCCATGAAAAGAAAGCAACACAGTAGATTTGCCCACATATTGCCCTTGCACACACGACTGGGGCAGGTCCTCCCAGCCGGCATCTCCTGCCTTTGCAGGTGAGAGATGCTCTGTGTCTGGACTTCTCTGTCTTCAGCCCATTTTATGAACTCAGCCCCTGCCTCCACTTTTTAGCTTTATGCTATGCTGTGAGGCTGACTCAAACTGTGACACCATAATGACATTTCAGTAAAGTTATTTTTAGGTGTTGGTGAGGGTGAGATTGAGAAAGCTCTCTGCCTCTCTCTGTGCCACTAGCTTTACCTTGATTGTAATGCCTCCTAATCTTCTGTCCTCCACAATGTGGCAGCCAGGTTCCCACATGAGTGTTAATTGCCTTGTGAGAGCTGGATTGGTGCTTCAGCCCTTGAAATCAGCAAACTCAGCCTATATAAACATGTGTGTGTGCATGCACATGCATGTGTACATACATAAATGTATTTAATATAAAAGTTGGCTTAAATGCAAGCTTAAGCATTTGGAGATCGAGCAATGCCAAAGTAAATGTTGTTCATCTAGGCTGACTGGAAAAACCAGCAGAAGAGCTCATCAAGGTTTGTATTAATTAGCTTAATTGTTCTTGTGGTCTGAGATTGCAGTTAAAGCCATACTTGATGCTGAGCTGTGCTTATGCCTCCGACTTCAGTGAGATTTATTCACATTTGCCTACTAGTCTAGACACGATGCTTAAATTCTCTTTGTTATTAAAGCTTCTCTAATGTCTTTAAGCAATTTACTCCACAATTGTTAGAACATTAGGTGGAAAATTTTCTTTTTGTTATAAAAGCTGTAGAATTCTCAAGGGGAAATTCTCACTGAAAAATCTCCAAAAATTTTGCATAGAAATTGAAGAATTGTAATAGAGCCTGATTTCTTAGTTTCTTCACAGAGAAAATTCTGTGTCCATGAGGCACCTCTTAATTCAGTGCAATTCTCCAAGCAGTGGATACACATCCTGAACTACACTGTTAATCTGCTTCTGACCACCCAGGAGGTACGAGGAACCTTTGTTACCATTATCTGATTATCTGATTTGTACGTTAATGGGATGCTTCTAGTCTGGGCAACCTAAGGGATACTGAAAGTGAAGCTGTTATGGAAATGTGGGAAATACCCAGAAGTGTCAACGCCCTGAGCAAGGTGTCACCCAGGAGCATTCTGCTTGTCATCACGTACAGTTCTCACCCGAGGTCCACTTGTCTTTGAGCTGTGGTATCCCAAGACTGGAAGAGCTCCTTTCCAAACAGAAGTGTCTGACGCTTTATGGTAAAGCAAATAGGTAACAACACCAAAGCACTTGATAGAAACAGCCTGAGGGTTGGGGATAGCGAGACATCTAGATCTTCACTGGCCCTGAACTTCAAAAACTATTCCAATCTATTCATCAAGGTTTCCCTTCCATTTTCTAATCCCTGTTACAAGGTGTCTAAAACTGTTGAATACCCCAGGGCAAACCAGCTATGTAGGAGAATCCCAATAATTCTAGACTTTCACAAGTGCTCTGACCTTAGAGTTATAGTGAGACTGTAGCCTCTTTGCTCTATCAGGAAAAAATTTCATCTATCTTAAGAAAGAGTCCCATTCTGCTTTAGGATGAAGAACTAGCAGAATGATAGAAAATTCTGAAAACTTTCATTTTTGAAAACTTACGCTGGAATGGTCAGGAAATGAAGAGTCGTTTGTGTTTCTGTCACTCCCACTGTTCAGAGCCAGGGAAAGCATCTCAGCTGTACCTGCAGCGTCCCAGCAAAGAGGAGGAAGAGCAGGTGTCTGAATGAGGGGAAACTGCGAGAGGCTGACAGAAGGACTGATTTGGGAGTGGATGGGAGTAAATTGGATTGATTTGGAGATGGATGTGCAGAAGTAATTGCTGAGCAGTGGTCAGAGCTCCTGAAGCTCCGGATCATCGTCAACTCCATCCTTATCGATACATCTGTCACCACTAATTCTCATTCATAGTTTGAGAAGAGCCTGAAAGGGTTAGAAAAAAAAAAGATTAGATGCAAAAATGCAAAAGATAGATGTATAAATCTGTAATAATCATTAAGAGCCAATTGCAGTTGTTGAGTATTTTTGTATGTAAACCATTATTTGTTTGGTTTGTTGTGTTGTTTTTTTTTAAATCTTTTAAGGATAGAGAGCAGAGCAACAGAGGAATTGCAGCTCTGGAACCGGTCTAAACCTGTGTTTGATCTGAGCCTTGTATTCTGCTCCCACCATCATCAGAAACAGATGTGTCAGAAACCTGGGGAAGAGATCTCTACCAGTGATAATAACCCCTACGGGATAAAAATCTTTCTATCCTTATCACTTATGCCCTTCAGCATGAGGTTTTCTATTTATTGTACACATTTTAAATGCTATAACTCGTTTTCACTATGCATGTAAATGTCTAACCTCTAGTTAATGCTGTGTAGGCAGCAACCCTTGCTAATAAGGCACCAGTAGCTTCTTCATTGCAAAAGGAAATGGGTAACATGGAAGAGGTGTGGTATGAGCTGTGTTATAGAACATGGGTGAATTTGCAGGAGGAAGATGGGCCATTCTGGCAGCACTTGTTCCCCACAGCATAGGGAAACAAGCAGGGCTGCAGCTCGCCATGTATGCCATATGGGCAGGCCAAACAGGTGCAGAGTGGGAGAGGCAAAACACAATCATCAGGGACATGAGTTCACATGGATACAAGCATGCAGCACGCTGGATCACACGCTCATTCCCCAGCCATTTCATTCTATTCTCATGTTTGCTTTTACAAGACTACAGATGTGCTTTTAATGCATTTGGTAAGTGCAGTTTGACTCTGATCTTCCACCCTCACATCTCATTCAGGACTGAAGAAGGTGGTATGTAAGTTCTCAGCATAAAGAGCAGACAATAAAAAGTAGTCATAAGGTAGTACCATAGCCATTCATGTGAAGCAAAGTCTAAACATTTGTTTGCTCTCTTAAAAAAAAAATGTAAAAAACTTAGAACAATAGAAGAAACATGCAATTACTAACAAATTTTCAAAATTGGTAAGTTTCCAATTTACAAGATTATTTTCATTATCAAATTCATTTTAAATTATAAAGGCAATGAATATTTCAGTGTGATAGAGGTAGAAGCGACCCTACAACTGCATGAAAATTTCAGATACTTCTGCAATGTTTAATACTCAGAACACCAAGTGATCAGATGATGCCACTACTCTGAACACTGAGCATATGCTATACATATATCATTTGTTCACTGGGTTGTAGTTTATCACAGAACCACAGAATGGCTTGGGTCAGAGGGAACCTTTAAAGCCCACCCAGCCCCAACCTGTGCCGTGGGCAGGGCTGCCCCCACCAGCTCAGCTGCCCAAGGCCCATCCAACCCGGCCTTGAGAGCCTCCAGAAATGGGGCACCCACAGCTCTGGGCAGCAGTGCCAGTGTCTCACTGCCCTCTGAGTATGAAGAATTTCTTCACATTATCTAATTGAAATCTCCCCTCTTTTGTTTTAAAGCTGTTATCTCTTGTCCTATCACTACACTTCTGTTAAAGAATTCCTTGCCATCTTTCCGTTCAAGCTACGTTGAAACTGAACTGTTTGCTACTTCTGAGTAAAACCTTGCAGCTGGCTGGGCTGGGACTTCTATTGGAACAGCAATCTCATTCTAATGCTTTTATCTGTAGCTGGGCGAAACGTCTAAACATGAGTTCCCAGTGCCACACGTACAATAGGAATACCTAATGCTCGCCTGAAAATAAATAAAGATCAATGACAGACAATTTTATTTCCACAGACACCAATGCCACGATGCTACCTATTGCTCTAACAGCATCTTGAAAAAACAAACAAACAAACACACAATAACAAAAAAAAAAAAAAAAAAAAAAAAAAAAAACAGATGATGAAATGCATAGAAGAGACTTGAGGTCTGGAGTGTATGCCTTCCACTAGTCTAACATCCAAGTTGTACCACAAACCGCATCCTAGGCAGTCTGACCTGATGTTAAATCCTACAGGCAAGATCTGACAAAGCCCTGTACAGCTGCTGGAGTCCGGACTTCCCAAACTTCAGTCCTTCTTGCGGGTAAATTGTGGTGGCTCCTCACTCGGTAGCCCAGCAAGGCTTTGAACTTCTGTCAGCCACTGCAGTGCTCCACGTATTTGGGTGTTTGTAAAGCCTCGTTCTCAGAGCTGGATTTTGCCGTGGGAGTCACATGCTGCATCACCCCCCAGTCTATTTGTGGATCTGAGCCTATATTCATACGCTCACATTTAAGCTGGCTGAAAGCCTCTCAGAATTGTAGGCAAAGGTAAATTTTGCACACTCAAGACAAGCTCATGGCTGCATCTGCAACAGAGAGAAGCTGGAAAGGGAGCAAAGGTGGGGAAAACTGGTGGTGCAGAGGGTCCCCTACACAGTGCTGTTACCGGGCAGCAATGAGAGCAGTCAGGCAGGGCCACAGCTATGGTGTTTGTATCAACTTTTCTCTCTTCCTTCCTTCCAATTTGCTGCCATAAGCAACTGGATATTTTGGCTGTGTATAGAAGCAAACCAAGACTACTAATGTTCTAAGGTGAAAACATCCATCCCACCAAAGAATTATTCATCCAACAATGGAATTATTTGGTGACATGCTCTTTAGCATCTCCTGATTAGGAAGTCTATTTTCCTTTGTTACTAATTTTTTCACTTTTGTGCAGAGTAACCATGGCTATTTGATTCTTTGTGGGTTTTTTTAAGTCTTCCTAAACTAAAAGGATCTTACCTCTCTCTACCTTTAGGGAGAGGTCTTTTTATCAACAAGAAACAGTAAATTCAGATCTTAACAACACTTTACCTGGTACACTTAAGATGAAACACGATTGCAAGCCTTTGAAAGTCTGCTTTGTCTGGTGCAAGTGTATCACTACGCCCCCATACAGCTACCTGGGGACACACAAACCTGCAAAATCAGTGCTCTTGCAGGGAAGTTAGGAGACAACTCACGTACGAAGCACAGTGGACAGCCTTTGATTTTTTATCATGACATTTTCTGCCTCTGAGTCTTTGAGAACGTTATGGATTTGAATTACAAGTTCCTGTGGCAGCCTGCATATTTAAGGACCAACCGCAGTGGGACAGAGCCGCCCTCAACCAATGCTCAACACGTGCAGATCTGCAGTTTCACAGAGAGAACAGCTGCACGGCTATGTAGCAGTCCTCTGCCAGGCCAGCGAGCTGCATTACATGACACGGCATCTGCGATATCTTCTTCACATTAAATGACTTTCAAGAGGGCGGCAGAGATAAGGAGAAAGTTCAACTGGTGCGTATTATTCTTAGGTTTTAATGCACCCCCTGGCAGCCAGCCAAAGCAAGCTCTCAGAAATTCTGAACTCCATCCAGAAATCTGCAACCCTGGAAATCATGACAGTTCAAACAATTAATGCAAGGTTCTCTTTATTTGTTTTCCTGGTTTTGAATTGTTATGATTCTGACTCCAATTTTTCCAGCATGGGATTTGTGGAAAAGAAGAGCCCTGGAAGCAGCGTGATTTCCTCTAACGGCCCCAGACTGGAAGCAGCCTCCCGTGCCTTCCCAAACCAGTGCTGCTCCGTGATGACATCAGGGCTGTGGCCTCCGCAGCTCTGCCGTGAAGCCGTTCCCAGGGCTGAGTGCCGCTGGCGGTGTGAAACCTCTCAACACCAGCTGGAACGACTCGTGCCGGGTGTCCTTCAGCGTCACACAGATCCCACTTCAGGAAAGCACGGCGTGCTGCGAGGGCCGGCGACAAGGCCCTCTCGTACCTCCCGGCAGCAACTCTGTGTCAAAACATCACCAGCAGAACAAACAGCACGGCGCCGGCAGAACGCGCTCCGCGCCGCCGAGGCCCGCCGTTCCTCCGCAGAGGGGCAGGACCCCCCCGGGGGAGGCCCAGCACGGCTGCGGGGCGGCCCAAGGGACCTCCCCGCTCCGGGAAGGCGGTGGGCGCGGGATCGATGCCGCCCGCGGGGCGCCGAACGGCGGCGGAGGGGAGGCGGCGCCCGGCGGGTGCGAGGCGCCGGGGGGAGCGGGGCACCGCCGCCGGGCCTCGGACACCCGCGGGCGGCGGGGAGCGGCCCCCAGGCCCCGCGGCCTCCGCCTCCTCCGCCGGCACGGGGGAGGACAGCAGCTAGAGGGAGCTCCTCCGGACTGCATCTGCCCGTGCGCCCCGGCTCCTTTCATAGGCTCCCCCGCCTCCTCCCCTCCCTCCTTCCCCCGTGATGGCGGAGGACAGCGAGTCTGCGGCCAGCCAGCAGAGCCTGGAGCTGGATGACCAGGACACCTGCGGCATAGACGGCGACAATGAGGAGGAGGCCGAGCATGCCAAGGGGTAGGGGCGCGCTGCGGGCGCGGCGCTGCCTTTCTTCTTCCTCGCTCCCTCCCTCGGGTGGCGGCGGGGCCGCGGCGGCCGTTCGCGGTGCGGGGCGAGCCGGGCTCCGGCGCGGGGCTCGCGGGAACGGGCGGCTGTCAGCCGGCGGGCGGCCTCCGTGGCGCGGCCCGCGCTCCGCCCGAGCCCCCGCCGGCCGCGGGCAGCCCTCGCCCTCCTCCCGGGCCGCCCTGCGCCGCAGCGGGCGGGTGGGAGGACGCCGCCGGCCCGGGCCGCGCCGCCTCGCTCCGCTGCGTGCGGGGAGGCCTCCGCCGAAGGAGGAAGCGTGGGGGCGGCGGGCCTGGGGAGCGGAGGGGCCTCGGCCGGGGAGGGTTGGGCGGCTGCCCCGGCGCGCCGGCCGGACGGCGGAGTTAGAAGCCGGTCCGCGAGCGTTCCCCGCCTAGGGAAGGGGAACCGTGTTCTGTTGTGTCTGCGCACAGCGGCTTTCCGGCACGGAGCGGCTCCGTCTCGGGGTCTGGGCCGTAGAAGCTCCCCGGCCGTGCCGCTCCCGGCTGCCCCGCGTGTCCCGGCGCGGAGCGGGCACGGCTCTCCCCGGGCTGCGGGGCGGCACCGCGTCCCTGTCACGCGCTCCCTCCTCCTACTCGGCGTCCTCTATTGTCCGGATCGAAACGGCAGCTCTAAATCCACATGTCGTGTGGAGCGGAGCGGGTGCTTCAGCCAGCGGAGCGATGCCGTGCTGCCTGTGGTGGCTTTTCTCCCCTCGGACCGCCTGCAGCAGCCCAGGGACGCGGGCCCTGCACCGCGGGCACCCCTCGGTCTGCGGCGTGCTTCCATCTGGACACCCGCTGCCGCGGGCCTGGCTCAGCTGCAGCTTCTGGGAGGAGATGCGTTTAAAAACTGGCTTCGTTTAGACATGCCTTCTTGCTGTTTTGGGAGCTGGAAAACTGATGGCAAAGAAAATGCTTCTTTGTCACAACCAGGAGTAGCCCAAAATAGAAATAGGTTAATTTATATACTGCTACACGAATACCTTCCTCATGAATTTCTGATTCATTTGGTTGAGAGCGTTCCTGGGGGTGATTGATGCTTGGAGATGTAAGCTGTTTGTCATCTCCTGCCCGAGGTTTGCTTGGCAACAAGCAGCTCTGCGTCTTACGTGCGGTGAGAGGAGCCTGGGAACCCTGGAGGGGAGGAGGGCTGGCTGCTTGAAAAGGCAGCAAGGGGAAAACTTCCCTGCGTGCTGCTGGGTCTGCGCGTTCGCAGTGTGGATGCAGGGTGCTGCTGTACCCCAGCCTGGCCTCCGTTGAGCTCGCTGGGACACCTCGTGCAGCTGCGGATTGTGCAGCGTTCTTTCCAAAACTTGTTTTTGTTGAACATCCCAGAGGTGTTTTAAGGAATATTTTGAAGAAGCTCCTTAATTCGTCTTTATGTGGAAGATTTTGCTTCCTATTTCAGTATGAAATGTAATGAACTCAGAGGGAGACCACTGCCATAGAGAAAAGCCTCTAAGTACTAGTATCAGTTTTCTGTGGTGTTTTCGATGCATGGAGTCTAATACTGACTCCTGAATGAGTGTATTTTGTTTTCATTCAGTCTTTTAGAACCTTGTTTGCCACAGCTTTCTGCAGGCTGAAGAATTCAAACAAGTTCCATCAAATGCAAAGAAATACGTTACATTACAGCTACAACTATGTCTTAAGATCTGCCCTCCAGCAGGGAAGTTAACCCATGGCTATAGGAGCCTGCATTGTTCCCTGTTTTTTCCCCATTGCAGTGTTTTCATTTTGGAAGTAGCTTTGAAGTTTACTTGTAGTTTATAGGTTTGGCTTTGTATAGGTAAGCAACCTATAGTGGTGAATGGTTTCCACTGATGCTGATCAGTATTTAATCTCATACTATCTTTACCTGTACATTTTTTAATAAGGTCAGTATATGTTGCATGCCAATCTCCAGTAGGATCACTTTATAAATGAAATTACTTTCAAGCTATCTCTTAATGTGTCCTGATAGTACTGCCCACAAATAGATATTGTGCATATATATATGTGTGTGTCTGTATATATATATATATATATAAAAACATGTAAGTGTGACTTTGCAGCAGAAAATACCTGTTTTGACTCTCAACTGTGCAGATATCTTTGTCCTTTGTTTCTGGTCTTGTTTTTTAGCTGCAGGATTATGTATGTTGTGTGACTCATATTGCTGTTCTGTCTGCAGTTTGCTCCTGCTTGATGCATTATGCTGTACTTGTTCTGCTTTGTAATAAAATGTTGTTTACAAGGCAGCTTTGTTTGTGCATATGTAGAGAAATACTTTTTACTGCACCTGACTCCCCTGCTAAGCCTGGTTGGTGAGGTCTTTCTCTTCATTCTAAGCACCTCCTTCTGCTCCATGACAGAAAAGAAGATCTTGTAAACAGATGAGAAAAAATATGACCTTTAGACCCCACCCGCTCTCAACAAATGATTTACTTTGGATGTTTCAGTAGTATACTCCTTCAATTATCATTAAAGGGCAACTTTCTAAACAGCTCTACTTTTAGATATAGATATGGTTTAGTATATTTTTAAGGTCTGGAGGCAGTACTTGGTTTAAACATGTGAGACTGAAATCATAGCATTACAGACCGGAGTGAGCAGGGGAAGCCCACAGAGCTGTGGGGAGTGTCTGTGGGTTCTGTTCTAAGGCACTGCTGCTGGGTTTTCATGCTGAAGAAGCTTGCATTTCCAAACACTGAAATGTGTGCAAATGAAGTGTTAGTCCAGGAGGGCTGTCAGGAATGGGAGAGCTAACTGGAATTTGAAGGATGTGTAATAACTTTCTTAGGTCTTATGCTGTTGATATGGTGGTGGCCTAATACAGGAGGGGGAAAGCTCTTTGCTTCTAGGCCTCCATTTTCTGTATGAACCAAGGACAGCCCTAGTATCAATAATGCTACTTTGAAATGTGTCGGAATCTTGCCTGAAAACATAAGATCTGATTTTTATGATCAGAAAGATCTACATAGCGCCTTCAGAAACACAGTTCTGTGACCTCGCTTACACACAGGGAGACAAAAAATATGGTGAAGGAGAGGAAAAACCCCAATTATACAGTCCTGGGCCTTCACAGCTTAAAAATAAGCAGCTGAAATAGACGTTTAGTTTTAGATTTGAGAAACTGTTAGTTTGAAATTGCCACTCCGTGTAACTCAAAGCAGATGTTGATATTAGAGTGAGCCAAAGCAGGATTCAGTGTCCAAAAAGACAAAACAACACTGAAGAATATTCGGTGGGATGATCTCGAATGAAACCAAGGGGACAGAGCGGTGTGAGCACCTGGCTGCTGAGGCTCTGCTGGCCCTGCATCTGAGTGCATCTGAGTGCTGCCTGCTCTGCTCGGAGCTCCGCACAGTGCTCCCTGCCTCACCCCACAGGGGTTCAGTAAAAAACCCACACGCTGAGAGAGGCACAATTCTTTCTTCACATCTATATGAAACACCAGATGTGTGTACATAAGTGGAAAGGTATGTGGGTGGGATCATGGGCTTATACGTGTAACAAAATGATGAAAATGCAGGCCTGAGTAACTTTCCTGTAGCCTGCTCCTGTAGCAAGGCCAAACCTTTAGTGCTTTTGGGGCAGAAAGGGGTCTCTTGACTCCTCTTATGCCTAGGCTGCAGTTGGATCACACATTACTTGGCCTCTCTCTCTGCTTCCTTTTTTGTCAGAACAACGTGGTGGGTGCAGTTGAAGTACCACAGAGCAGGTGGCCCACCCTCCTGTCAGCAGAGTGCTTGTGATGTGGGCACACCTCTGCCAGGCCCTGGGCTGACAGAGCAGCGTTCCCACTGGAGTCGAGCTGCTTGGGGCATCATCACAATTAGCTGCAGGTCCTCATCCTCCTGCCTGTGCTGGTTAACAGCGCTGATTCACATGTGAAGGTCAGCTTCCGTTGAGCTCTGGGAGTCATTTTTTCCAGCTAATAAGAGTGAGATATGTTTCACACCATATAGGTATGTCTGAGCAGACAAGAACTCAGATCTTAGCACATAAGAATGTTTAATAGCTTTTAATAGGAGTCTTCACTAATAATCTTGCTACCTTTGCATCTCCTTTGTGCCATTATGCCCAGTGTAATTACTGAATATTGAGCAACAAGGCTCCTCCCTTCTCAGACCTTCTTCCTCCCAGCTTTAAGACCTTTCAGCTCTTTCCAGGGCTGAGACTGAGTAAGACCACCAATATGGAGGTGCTCTGCTTTTGCCCCAGTTCGCGGTGTCTCTGGCTGCAGCTCATGCTGGATGAGCCTGTTGGTTTGACCCAGGTTTCTGTGCACTGTCTGCTGCCAGACCTCAACTGCATGCGTGCCCAGGGAGGTGAAGGACACAGGGATTTTGCTTTGCATTCACTTTTAACTTTCTGTTGGCTGTGACAGCAATAAGACTAACCCTAAGCAGCAGACTGTGTAAAAATAATTGCTCTGAACGGCTCCAGTAACCTGTCAAACATGGGGTGCAAATGTTTATGTTGTGAGAGGCAAAATGAAAGTTCTGTAGCCAAAAGCCAGAAGCTGAGGACAGGGATTTGTGAAGGTGCAGAGATGGTAGGAGAAAGAAGAGGGGGAGATTATTCAAGGAGGTTTTGAACACTTCTCCCTGCTCAGTCTCCCCAGCTTCAAGCAGAGTTAAGAAATGAGTAGTTTTAAATACTGTCCAGCCTCCGGAGCAGCTTGGTTCTGTCTTCTCTCTTTCACAGCTAAAAAAAAATGTATGCATTTCTATATAGAAAAAAACCTTGAGCTGGTCAAAGAACAAACTGCGATTATCCTGGTAAAAGTGAAGTTGAACTGGGGTAACATTAATTAAGCTTGGCAAAGCTGCTTTTTTTGTACACTGCTGCCAAACCTTTTTTTTTTTTTTTTTTTTTTTTTTCTAGCAGTCACTAGTTTTTTCACCAAACTAAATAGCATATTGACCCTGGAGTGAGCAGGAGCCCTGTGCTGTAAGTGGGCAGCTCCTGCTGCAGGACGAGCTGCTGGAGAGCAAAGATTGGGGCAGCGCCTTGGTGTGAAGTGGGGTCAGCTCAGGGACACTGGGTGGCATCTTCTGGTGTTTGTCATGCTACAAGAAAAGGTGTAAGTTTAGAAAAGTTTAAGTTCAAGAAAATAAAGCAGAACCTTGTTAAATGCATCTTAGCAAAGGTGAAAATCTCACTTTCTCTGCCATTGATGTTTCAACATTGCCAGAGACGGGGAAGTCCTGGATAAGTCTTGTCTGGGTTTTTGTTATTGTTGTTTATTTGTTTGTTTTTCCATTGTCTCATATTTATAACCTCTTGCCAGACATCTAAAGGGAATTTATAAACATAAGGGAAATCAGCTTTTTACATGGGTAGATAGTGATAGGGCAAGGGGGAATGGAAGAGGGATTTAGATTCGATATCAGGAAGAAGTTGTTTTTACTGTGTGGAGTGATGCTGGGACGTTGCCCACAGGGGCTGTGGATGCCCCATCCCTGGAGGTGTTTAAGGCCAGGTTGGATGAGGCCTGGGCAGTCTGATCTGGTACTTACCTAGTGGCTGGCAGCCCTGTCTGTGGCAGGGGGTGGGAACTTGGTGCTCCTAAAGGTGCCTTGTAATCCAAGCCATTCTATGATTTTATGATCTGGGTCTGTTCTTTGTTTAGATTCTGCACAAATGTTAGCTTAGTATACAGGCCTTCAAAAAGATTTAAATATGTTTATTTAGAAGTGAGAGTTTAGGAACTGCTAATAGAATCACATAAGTGATCCAGCAGTACTGTCACTGTGTACAGAAAGCTCTCTGCCTGCCCGACTTTACAGCTCAATCTTTTGTTTCGGCAGAGCTCTGATGAATACTTCAGGTTCTCCCTTCTGTGTTGATCTGTTACACTGCTGTCCTCTGTGCAACTTCTGGGGGTTGATCCCAAATCTTGAATTTCCAGTTCTAACCTCACTGGGAGTGTGACTTAGTCTGGTGTAACTGGGAATGGTAAGCTCTTGTCAGGGTTGATTTTTCTTAGAGAAAAGCAATGATGCCACAGAGTGAGTCTCTGTTTAGTTAAATGCTTGATTAATAGCAGGTTTTTGGCTTCCAAATTGAAAATTTGGTACTTTCACACTGACATGAATTCTGGCAGGGTTTTTTGCTGTTGAGGCAGGGCAGTATGGTCTTAGAGCAAAAACCATGGCCCTTGCAAATGTATTGGCCTGAATAACTGTTAATGTTCTTCTGAGTTGGTTTGCCAGTGTAGCAAGTTTCATTTTCCTTTTTTTCCCCCAAAATTGTTTCCTTGACTTTTTTCTTTACCACTGAAAAATGCCCAAGCCCCCCAAACCCTAACATCTGTATTGGACACCATGATATGTTCATGGCTTTGCTGGGAGATAAACCTCCTGAAGAGGCTTCATGCTAACTGACTCATTCCCTCCTTTGCTTTCCGTCTGAGAGTTGCCAACACCTCCCACACTTTGCAAATTCTAATCTGATCTTGATTCCACATCTCGATTAGTTGCTAAATTAAAATCTCCTTTAAGAAAATAGGAGTTGTGTTATTGATAGTTGAAATATGTCAGAATCTGCAAGCACATTGCACACTTTGTTGTACTGATCGTTTTAATGCACAAATATTTGGGTCGTTTTGTGGTGATTCTTAATGAGATTTCACTGAGGTTTTCATCACTGCTTCAATTAGAAATAAAATTTCCTGAAAACAGAATTAGAAGAATCCAGTCAAAACCAATTCAGCTGTCCCTGATGGCTGAACATCATGGAGGATAACTATTGGGCCATCACTAGTTAGCCAGTTTTGGAGGGGGATGCCTTTCTTGCTTCCTGCACTTTCCTGTATTCCTCCAAGCTCAGTTGAAATTGTGTTTCTAAATGTCTTCATCTCCCCAGGAAATTCCATCCCAACCCAGAGTTAATTGTCCTTGGAACAGGGCAGATGGAATTTATGGTTACAGGGTCGTGGGATTTTTATCTGTCCCTCCAGCAACCACTTGTAGAAGTGTCGGAGAACTCTTGCTCTGCTGTATACAATACCTTAACGCACCTTTCTTGCTTGAAGTCTTTGGCCCAGTTTTCTGTGTGAGTCGCTTCTTTCTGAGAAAACAGTTCATTAGGCTGGTGAGTCTCCTGCCTACATGTGGGAATGGTCGTTTTGTGTTTGAGCTGAGGCTTTTGCAGTGTATCACAGTTTCACACACTGTGTCAAAATGCCTGCTTGTGCTGGGCTCTGAGTGTCAAACAAATGAGGAGGCGCATGCAGGAAGCTTTTTGTGAATGCACTCTCAGTTCCCCCCACTTCCTTTCCCCTGCCTTGGCTGCAGATTCAAACTGCTGTTAGATTTTTCTTATAACACTGCTGATTTTTCCATATTTAATCTTTATGAATTTTAAGTTTGGTGGTATTGATTTTTTTCTCACTGCACATTCTCTGAATTTCTGGCAGAAGTCCTGGAGGGGATTTGGGAGCGAAGAAGAAGAAAAAGAAACAGAAGAGAAAAAAGGAGAAGCCAAATTCTGGAGGCACCAAATCAGATTCTGCATCTGACTCTCAAGAGATTAAAATTCAGCAGCCTTCAAAAGTGAGAACCTTGTCCTGTTTCAGTTTGTGTATGCTTTCTGTTTCAACTTTTTAATTTATGTGTTGATTTTGGTAAAAGAGGGCTGGTGTTACTGCCTTAGTGCACCTGAATTAGGCAAATCTCTTCAGAAAGGAGGTGTAAGTCTTGGTGTTGGCTAACTGCATGAAGTTAGCCAGAAAGTTATAACCACAGCAGTTTTTAACCACAGTGTTGTTTAACAGCAGTCAGAATTCAGGCTTTGTAGCAGAGAGCCTTAATCTGCACTGGTAATGCCTTTAAGAACATTTTGCATTTGATGAGTTGTCTTTAGTTTTGTTGCAACCTAACAAGGCTTAGTGCAGCTGCAATTACACGGACATCTCATGGCAAGCATCAGAAGGAGGGACACACAAGTAAGCTCATGCTGACTGTATGCTTCCTGTGCTGTTTTATAGCATTTTACACTGACAGATACACACAAATAGATAAAATTCTATGCTCAGCCAGGCCAGTCCAGTCTTCAGCAAAATCTTATTGAAGTGAACATGCTTTGTTAACCAGCCTCATTTGGGCAAAGTAGCAACGTACCATCTCACACAAAATGCAATAATCTCTAACATGGAGATACAGACTGAAAAAACTTTTTCTGAAAGTCCTGCACTGTAAGTAAGTTTGCAAAATTACTTGAGGGGATATGCAACCTTTGTGGGCTTTGTCTGCATGCTTTTGACTGCCAGGTTCTAGTTAAAGTGAGTGAGTAATACGCATTGGTGGCTTTTTATCATATCTCCAGAGAAATCTGAGCCTGAGAACTGAGGTTTATAACATGGTGATATGAAAGTTCATGGGCTACTGAGCATGTTGATATATTTAGGTTTGCTTTGTCAGATTAATGTGAAAGAAGTTACGCTAACTGTACCAGTAAGATTTGTCACGTACGTTGATATTTTACCAACTAATTTTTGGGAAGAAGTTGTGCTCTGGTTTGTTAACTAACACGTGGATTTTGTGTTGTCCTCTGGATCTCCTCTGTGTCACACCCATTGCTTTGAGTGGATACATGGGATAATTATGTATATGTAGAGTGATCTTACATAGTTTCTTGTCTCACTGCATGTTTTGATGTTGTTTTTGTATGAAGTACATGGCGTGAATTGCTCATGCAAGAAGACTGCAAGCAACAACCAAGTAATCTTACACTCTTTCCTAGCGGGAGTGGGGTCAGTTTTAATATTAATATATAATTCATTGTTGTGGTATTGTGAGAGTTCCTAGATCTCCTGCTGACCAGATTTATTGTTGCATTAAAAGGAATCTGCTTCATTTCATCTGCAGGGCACTAGTCCTCAGCACCTTGCAGTTTTTGCACATTGTTTCTGTAACATGCACTGTATTTTGCAAACGTGGGAACTTTTCCTTGTTACAGTGATGCATGTAGTGATATTTCACTAACACAACAAGTTTAGTAAGTTTGTTAAAATTATTAAAGCTTTGTTTTGTAGGTACACAAGGGACACCTTTATTTAAGTTATTCTCTCATGCTGTAACATAACTAAGCCATATTACTGCCCTTACCGAGTTGCCTCATTTCTGTTCTTACAGATGTGCCAGTGTTGGTTTGTTCCCCTTTCTGTTCATTGTTTCAGGTGTACAACTTCATAAGCAGACAGGTTTCTCTGTCTTGGACAGCTTTGGTGTTTTAGATTTTTTTTCAAGAGCATCTTAGGCTGCTGGTCTGTCAGGGCAAAGAAATACATTTTTTCAAGTACTCTAGTGATACTTAGATTTTATGTTCCTTGTACTATGTGAAGTATGAAAAAAGCATGTTTAGCATTTGCTTGCTGTTTGTTGAAAGAAGCTCTGCAAAATATTTCAGAGGAAAGTATGTCTTATACTTAGTCTCTAGGAGAATATGCACAGGATCCTCAGGTAATATTCAGCAGGGCTTCTGAACTCACTGACAGTTATTTTGAAAAAGAATTTTGAGGTGAGCTGAGTTTGTAAACTGGTGTATCAATCAGCAGATGACAAAAGCAGAACAGTGAGAGAGGCCTCTCATTTGTGATGCTGGACCTCTTGAGAACCGGCAGGAGTGTAACCACAGCAATAAATGCACATTAGCTGTGTGCTTAAGTTGACCTTTAGGACGCTTTGCTTTGCTGCCCATCTCATGAGACTGCGGAATCTGTTCTCAGTACTAGCCCCGGGGATGTAGAATTCCCACACTGGCACAAGTGAACTGGCCAGATCTCTGATACTGTCAGTGATCATTGTAGTCGCCAGTGACCTGCACAGCATTCAGTCATAAAATAACTTAGCTTGAAAGGGACTTCTGGAGATCTTTAGCCCAGCCTCCTGCTTAGTGCAAATCCAATTAGGTGAGGTTGTTCAGGCATAGATGGGTTTGTATGGACTCCAACGATGGAGATTCTACAGCCTCTGTGGGCACCCTCCTCCAGTGTTTGACCATCCATGTGGTTAGAATATTATTATTATTAATAAATCCTTATATCTAAAATGGAACTTGATCTTTTTCAACTGTGTCCATTATTTCTTGTTCTGTCCTTAAGCCATCTGCAAAGGCTTGACTCTGTCTTCTTTACATCCTCCAATTAGGCAGCAATAAGATTTCCCACTCTCTTAGCCTTTGTTCAGCCGCCTTCTTGAGGGTTACATGTCATGTGCTTCAGCCCCCTCTTGGTGGCCCTCTGTTGAACTCACCGTGCTATGTCAGTGGTTTCCCTGTAATGGCAAACCCTAAACTGTCTCAAGGGTGGGAGATAAAGGGGAAGGCTCTTGCTGGTACAACCCAGTATGCAGTTGGCTTTTTTGCTGTGAAAGCAGACTGTTCGTTCACATTCGGTTCTGCCCACCAGGGCCTCCCAGGTCTGCAAAGCTTCATCCTAGCCAGTCAGTGCTGGCCTCTGCCATTGCATGGGCTTTGCTGCATTTGCTGTAATCTTTCAAGCTTAATAGAGAATGATCTTACAATAACACCAGCCAGCTGCTGAAGCATCCTCAGGTGCTAAGCATCCTGCTTATTGTCACAGGCTTGTGCTAAGTGACTCGTGCCAAAGGGTCCCTAACTCACTCTTGTGCTCTAGGCAGGGAGAGACTTGGGCTCTGCCACAAGGCCAAGACACTGAAGATCTCAGGTTAGGTCCTGTCACCAAAACTGGGGCAAAAACTGCATTGCGTACCTCAACTCCATTGCACTACACTACCTTACAGTGCTTTCTTGTGCTGTGAAGAGATGTTTTCCTCACAATGGAATTAAAATTACTCTTCTTTCTCTTTTATGTTGACGTGCTGCATATGCTTTCCTTGCTTTCCATTAAAGGAAACCAAAAGGATTTTCTCTCAACTTCTTGAGAGGAAAGGAGATTTCTCCAGTTGTCTCAACCCATGTTGTGCTTAGTACCAAACACAAACTTTTACTTCCCATGTGCTAGTTAACATCCTGGAGTACTGCATCCAGGTCTGGGGCCCCCAGTACGGGAAGGATGTGGAGCTGTTGGAGAGAGTCCAGAGGAGAGTCCAGAGGAGAGATACAGAGGTGCTCAGAGGGCTGGAGCACCTTTCCTAGGAAGACAGGCTGGGGGAGCTGGGCTTGTTCAGCCTGGAGAAGAGAAGGCTGAGAGGGGACCTCATTGCAGCCTTCCAGTATTTAAAAGGGGATTATAAAAAAGGAGGAGAATCACCTTTTACAAGGGTAGACAGTGATAGGACAAGGAAGGATGGTTTTAAGCTTAAGGGGGGAAGGTTTAAATTGGATGTCAGGGGGAAGTTCTTCACAGAGAGGATGGTGAGGTGCTGGAACAGGCTGCCCAGAGAGGTTGTGGATGTCCCATCCCTGAGGTGTTCAAAGCCAGGTTGGATGGGGCCCTAGGCAGCCTGGTCTAGTGCCAGATCTGGGGGGTTGGAACTTGATCCTTTGGGTGCTTTCCAACCCAAGTCATTCTATGATCCTTTCAGAACTTAGTAACTTTTTTAGATCATTTTCTTCTTAATCTTGAAAAAATATTAGACTTAAAATATCTAAAACATACTGAATAATTCTTATATGCCAACATTGATGTATGATTACTTAATCTACTGATAAGAGTTTTGAATTTATCTAGCAGAGTTAGAAGTGTTTCTATCAGGCCAGCAGGTAATTGTCAAATTGATTTTTAGTTAATAAAAGAACTCTACATCACTGCAACTTGGGTTGAAGAATGGAGTAAGATTTTTATGCTTCAGTGGCATTGATTTAGTTTGTTGAACTACATGGAAATGTGTAAATACGCTAGTTCACAATTACTCAGATGATGGGTGTTAAAGTGTGCTCACAGGCCAAATTTAGCCATGCTTAAATTAGTGAAAGAAATTGCGTAATATTTAGAGAGCACACGTATTTATTATAAGTAGAAAATGATGGCCTGCATGAGTTGCAGGCTGGTTTTTCAACACACAAATCCTAGTCAGAAAACGAAATACTGAAATAGTATTGTTGTTCAGTAAGAAAACATCAGGCTTGAAATCTCTATCCAGAAATATGTAACATTTTCCAATCTATTTGAGACTATTCCATCAGGTATATTTATTCCACTGCAGAGTCTGGGAAAACGTGAGCATGAGCGTGCTGCTAGTGTGTTCAACTTGTCGCATGGGAGATGGTTCTAAAAAGAGAGAGAGAAGGAAGGAGAAAGGGAAGGAAGGAGGGATAAGTTCCTTTACATTTAGAAGTCTGTTAGCATTATTCCTCTGCAATTTCATGTGCAGGTAGAATTCTCATTTTAGTTACACTTAATCAGAATGCTCAGAAGTCAGGGTTTAGGAGCTCAGTTCAGAAATGCCGAGCCTTAGGCTTTTGTTTTTCAGATAACTGTCAGTAAGATTTTTCCACTTCTAAGTGGAAGATTAATTTATTTTACATCTGCTTCTATAACATAAAGTTTCCTTAAGTTATGAGTGTTGGCACTAGTGGTAAAATGGTGAACTTCTATATGTTATACAATGCAGTAAGCTGCCTACTATAAAATTTGGTACCTAAAAGAAGGTAGATCCAACATAACTAAGGTTGTAAAGTGGATATTTACAACAACAGCACAACTGAAATATTGAGCCATGCTGATCTTAAGTAATGTTTAATAGTATATATATGAGGCATAACTTCAAATATCACTGTGTAGTGTCTTTAGATTGTTAAATATCAAAGCTGATCTGCTTTTTGCTGTTTATTGTATTTTATTATTGGGAGAGGAATATAATAAGATTTTATTGTGGTACTGGTATCATGACCTAACACTGCAGCTATATGTGGTACCAACACTGAATTTTCACTGCTAAATGCAAACAGTACTCAAAATTGCTAAGTATTTTGTGAAGCTGCTTGTCTCCTTCCCACCTCTTCTTCCCTCCTTCTGCTGCTGAAGGTAATACCGAAAGTGACTATGGTAAGAAGAGCTTATGAAAGAATACAAAAGAATAAAGCAAATGCCCGCATTTGTACAGTGGTCTGAAGTGAACAGCATGTCCAAAGTAATCATACCCTATTCTGTTTGTCTCCATGTGCAGAATCCAGCCATTCCAATGCAGAAGCTTCAAGATATCCAGCGAGCAATGGAGCTGCTCTCTGCATGCCAAGGTCCAGCAAAGAACATTGATGAGGCTACCAAACGTAAATACCAGTTTTGGGATACACAACCTGTACCAAAACTTAGTAAGTTGAATTGGGCATGTGATCTTGAAAGAACGTATACCAGTTCTGTGTTTTTTTAAAGTGGGTGTTAAGTTGGACCGCATGTGAGTTCCTTAATCTTTTGTGTTGTTTATATGGAATTATTGATATTCTTCAGGTAAGTCATTGCCCTTCAAAATAATATGCAACGAAACACAGTGTTAATAAATCTCATTCTGGTGTTCTCTACAAAAATGCTACTGCAGTAACATTCCTTTGTATATTTTAGGTCTGAACTTTTAAACAATAGAACACAAAGAGAGCACTTCAGGGCAAATTAAAAAGTTTGTCAAGTGGTGATGGGAATGAACTTTTGTTCTATTTATTTTCTCTGTTGTTTGTTTTTTTTT